GGACGCCACAAAATGTTATGTGTAGAAAAGTTTTTTGTGTCATGTTAAATGACAAATGCAAACTCCATAATATATATATATATATATATATATATATATATATATATATATATATATGGGTCAGGATATTTTTACACCAGTGTAAGAGTTAGAAGTCTTACACTCAATCTTGACTATTGATCCACTTGTATCCAATGACTAATATTACTAAAAAATTAGAGCCCTTAGATATAAGTGAGATTAATAGACAAGATTGAGAGTGTAACTTACACCGGTGTAAAATGATCTTGACCCTATATATATATATATATATATATATATATAAGAAAAGTATTTCTACAGCCACTTTAGATACATTTATCTACAACCACCATTTTTAACTATGTTCTCCTGGAAGAACATAGTTATAACACGAAAGTTGCTTTTTTTTTTCTCTTCACGTCAGTAGACAGGTTCTGAAAAGTAACTGAGGAGAGAGAAAAAAGTAACTTTCGTGTTATAACTATGTTCTCCCAGGAGAACATAGTTAAAAATAGTAACTGTAGATAAATTTATCTAAAGTGGCTGCAGAAATATTTACTTATAAATATATATATATATATATATAAACTATGACTTGAGGGTTTAAAAGTTCACATGCGCCAAAGAATATATAGGCTTATCCATCATTGAGAGCTATCCTATTAAAGTTAATTAGCCACATGAATTTCACTTCGATAGGAGAATAAATCGGGTAAGGAGTGGTGGGTCCAAGCTTCCCTTTGCAGTTGTACATTATCTGTACACCATTCAATACAAGGAAGAAGCCCCCACATGTTAGTACCCTCTTCCACCTATGTATGCTGGCTATCTTCATATGGTTAATTCAATTTCACTTAGTCAGATGGCACCTTACTAGTTGAAAAGTTGGTGAGATATATAAATGATGTTTATTCACAGATCTTTGGCTCACAATTTTCCCACATAAATAAAATCTTGCTTTTCTCATAAGCATATTTGGCTTTTCCGTCAAATGGAATGACACTAGTAGTGTGTCTTTTCTGTCTTCGCTTCAACATCTTTTTTAGGTTCTAAGATAAGGTAGTGGTTATTAGATATTGTTCCAAGACAGGTCAGCTTTCTTTGTTCCAATTGAAATGCTAATAAAACGTTGAGGATTTTATTACCAATCTTGAACTCACAATTGTAAGTGAGCTTATAGATAGTTGATTTTTTTTTATAATTACTTATTTACTTCCACATGGAGTAGTATTTGTTGTTGTATGGCTGCAACACGTTTGTTTCTCAGTTTTACTTTTCTTATCCCGTACATCGGTACATGTCATGTCATGCCATTAGGAATGGAATTGGACTATTCCGTGCAGTATTATTAACATAGCACTACTTCAATATTTGGGGCCCAAGCATTATCAATGGACCAAGATTGAAGGCTGGCGCCAGCAATGTTGTTGGTTGGTAGTTCTGGCTGGTGAGGAAATACGATATATATTAGACAAAAAAAAATTGATTAGATGTATAGTTAATGGAAAATGCATTTGTTATCTTACATGAGAAATTAATAGTTGTTATGTTAAGAAAATAACAAATTATATAATATTAAAAAAGTGAGAAGACACATTATTCAATAAATTTATCTTGTCTTTTTATTAACATAACAATTATTCATTTGTCATGTAACATGACAAATATATTTATCATAGTTAATAACTATATAAGACAAAGTCACAAAACATATAATTAAAACGGATATGTTTTTCTCTTATTATAAGAGGAAAAACCGACCCCCTGCACTCCTATAAAAAATGTGCCATGCGTTAATCTTTTATTTATTTATCTGGTGGGCTCCACATGTGTTTTATCTCTACAAGATAGGAGAAGGAGAAACTAATACCCCTAATTAAAATATACTAAATTGGGCGTTATATATATATATATATATATATATATATATATATATATATGGGCAGAATATTCTTACACTGGTGTAAGAGTTAAAAGTCTTATATTCAATCTTGACTATTTATCCACTTTTTAAATATATATATATGGATCAGGATCATTTTACACTAGTGTAAGTTATACTCTCAATCTTGTCTGCTGACCCCACTTATATCTAAAGATTCAAATTTTTTAGTAATGTGAGTCATTGGATACAAGTGGATAAATGGTCAAGATTTAGTGTAAGACTTTTAACTCTTACACCAGTGTAAGAATATCCTGTCCTTATATATATATATATATATATATATATATATATATATATATATATATATATATATATATATATATATATATCCAGTAACTCTTAAGTTTCATTAAAGTAACAACATAATCGGCTATAAAAAAAAAATAACAACATAATCATACTTTGTGATAAAAGTATGATTATTATATTATGATATTATTTGTGCTCATTTTTATTTTTATTTTTTAGTTTAAACTAAAGTTTTTATTAAAATTATTTACAATTTTGTACTTATTCTTTTACATTTTAAAAAATAATTTTTGTTAGTAAATTTCAAATATAAAATTATTATTTTGTTCAATTTTTTTTAATATTTATTTTACTTTATTTTTTGAAATTTTAGATTATGCATTTAAATAATATAATTTAAAAGAATTTACAATTATAATTTTAAATCCTGATTCTTTGAAAAACAAAAGCAAAATTTAAAATTCTTAACTAATTCAAATTATGAAAGAATTGAAATTAAAAATGAAATTATTTTGATTCTTTTTTTAAATAAAATTAAATTTAAAATGCTTTTTTCTAACACCTAAAAAAAAGGACACCATATTAAAGAGACAATCTCTCCTTGTTTATAATTTCATTTTGGGTCTCTTCGGTATAATACAAGAAAAAAAAAAGTATATAATAAAAAAAAGAAAAAAGAAAAAATTATCATTATTATTTTTTGAGAAAGATTATATTTACAACTTATTTCCGTTTACAATCTCTTATAATTATATCTTAACCGTTGATTTTTGTCAATCAACAGATATTTTTTTTACAAATCAAATTCATTAATTAATTATTAATTCGCAGTAAATAATAATTGTTGATTGACAAAAATCAACAATTAATATATAATTATGAGAAGTTATAAACAAAAATAAGTTATCAGTATGACTTTCTTTTTATTTTTTATTTCCTAAAGGAAGAAAACAAAACTCGTAAATGTATGATAAAGCCAACAAATCCCTTCTCTCCTTTTTTTTTTATCTTGCTTCGAACCTGATTGGGAAAGGATAGAAAATTGTGGGATCCCGTCAAATCCTTTCCATTCAAGTCCCTTTCTTTCCATACTTAAAAACCAAACCAGGATCGCGATTCGTGTCTAATCATTACCTCCTTTCATTTTCTTTCTATTCTAACATATCATTCCACACATGCCCAAGATACCATTAAGGCGCCCAATTAATAAAAGCCTATGCCGATTGGTGAACTGAATTAAAATGACTTGGGTGATTGTGTTTTGCTTTTTTTTTTTTTGCTTAAAATTATTTTGTAGAATATTTAATAAAATAGATGTTTTTTTTTGTATTTTTTTAAAAATTAAAAATAAAATACAAAATAAAAACAACTGACTGGAAATGATTGTTTTGCAAAATAATTTCTAAAAGAATGCATTTTTTTTAATCTGAAAAACCAAAACAACATGCGAATGTTCTCCAAAGCTGTTATTTGATTTTTTTTGTTTTGGCGGTGACAATTTCGTTAATATCAGAATTTATTAATAGCAATTTTGTAAATATCAATACTTGAAATAATTATTTTATGATGGCATTCTTGTAATTCAAATCTTCATTAATGGCATTTTTTAAATAATTACAACTTTTTTATAACTTTAGTTTAACTACATTCAAATAAGTTTTTTTTTTTGTTTTTTTACTCTTAAAATTAATTTTTAAAATTCATATTCAAAACAGTTTTTTAAAAAAAAAAACAAAAACACTTTCAAACATTCTAAATTTAATTTTAAAAACTAAAAAAATAATTTATAGAATTTTTTTTACAAAATAGGTCTTAACCAATTATTTTTTTCTTTCTAAAAATAAAAATAAAAAATATTTAAAAACAGAATTCAAACATACCTTGATCTCGCCACACGAGACATGCAGATTAAGGCCTGTTTGTTTTAGCATGTACTTAATGCCACCATGGGGCGCTCTGAGGAAGGAAGAAAGAATGGATTTTGACTCCAGACTGTAGGTAAAACAAATAGGCTACACATCAATGTGCGGCAGCTGCTTGTAATTTTGAATAATTTTTCTCTTCATCTCAATGCATCTAGATCTTTCTGTGGACAAAATGGGAGACTACAAGCTTTTCTTTCTTCTTATTTTCTAAAATAAAAATAAAAATGTAAAGTTGCTTCCATTTTATATAAAGAAGTCATACATTTAGACCCTTGATTGTGGTTTCATTTGAACACATACATTTTTATGAAATCAAGAGGTACTTATAATGCCTTTTTAATTTATTTGTTTTTAAAAAGGTCTCTAACGTTGAATGTAACAACTAAAAACGATTCAAAGCGGATAAAATGCTTGTGAATATTGAGATGTAGAAATTTTAACATTCTAAAATTATGTATTTCACTATGACTTTACCATTCAAAAATACAATTTATCTTACACAATTATATTGTTGTGCTCAATTATTCTTCTAATAACTGTGTGATGATATATCATATTTTTATCCCATGTCAAAGCGTCCTCAATGTGGTCCGGAAAGATGAAGCATGGAATTTAATTTTGTTACTAGTAGTACCTGTCACGATTGTTAATTTTTGGGTGCTAAACCTTGTTTATTCAATCTTAATTCTCATCATTCAATGACCGCTGATTTTATTATTTGGTTGTATTAAAATGTCAAATTATTCATACACTTCCATTATCGCTTAAAGTTGTGACAGCAGCATCCATACAAGGTTTCCTCACCACTAGCACATATATTGCTTTAAATCTCTAGATTCTTAGTAACCAAAAACACCGCCCCTTATGTTCTTTCGCCCTTGTTTAAGGGTATGCTCGCAGAGTCTAAGCAAAAGTATGCTGCGGCTTTGTTTCTTTACAGGATATATGACCACACTTAAAAGCACATATTCAAAAACTGGCAGAGGTGAGCATTATCCTACAGTTCAATTGAAGTGTTCAACATACTACCAAATTCAGTCCTGAGGCCCAGCTAGCATAACACAATCATCATAACACAAATAATTAGGTCCAAGGCTAAGCCATCCAACTGATTCTAAAGCAAATAGAGTACTTGATAAAGCTTGAGCAACAAAAAGAAAATATCCCCCCAACACCGGGGGGTTCCTAGTTGTTTTTGTTAATGACAGTAACAGCACCTCACGTCTAGAAGCCCTTAATAAAACTGGATCACTTCATTGCAGCATTTTCCTAGTAATGACTAATGACCATGAAGCAGCAGTTTGCTAGAATTTCTGCATGACGACTGAATTTGCTAGTCCTGCCTGTTCTATAGTCTGAGTTTCATCAGCTAGAACCTTTGGAGGGAAACTCATCATCTGAAGTTGATAATTCTGCTGACCCCCAGGTCTAGATGCATCGATGAAGGCACGAATGTCGCTGATCGTGTGGTGATAATTAAAATGTGATATCAAGCGGGTTCCATCACCTAACCTGAGTTGTATCGAGGTTGATGGCAATGATTGATCAACCACCAGGCCAGCAGAAGGGGCTGGACCTGTGTTAGAAGGTGTCGAGGCAACAGTTGGCTCAGGTTCCCCTGAAGTAGAGCTGCTTCCAAGAGTTCTTCCCACTCCCTGAAATGGAACATGGCGCTTTTTGGGTTCCTGCAAGTATGACAAACAAAATGCATTTACAATTTTATACATTGGACGTGCGATTTCAGATATAAGTTATTATGCATAACAAAAGACCTGGATTGCACTTCAAAATGTGAAACTTAAAAAGCTTCAAAAACTAATAAAATGGCAACTAAATTCGTCCTGGTTTCATATTAAATTGGATAGAGACAAATTTATCAAAAAAATAAATAAAAAAATTTGGATAGAGACAAACCAAAGAACTCAAACAGAAAACTCACAGGATAGTTCTCGTTCCTCCTTATGAGGTTAACATTAACAGAGGACCTCCTATCTGCAGGTTCAAGCTCTTTGGGACATTCAGATTTTTTAATGCTCTGCATTCAAAAATAGCAAATATGTTTAACAAAATTAAACCTTTGATGCAACCAAGAAGAAAGTAATAGTAGCCTGCACACATCTGGGACATTTTCACATAGACTCATAAAGAGATTATACAAGCAACCTAGAGAACACTTAAACAACAACATATGCTGGGTTTCAGAGAGAATTTAATAAAAATGTGCAGTAAGTCAAAAGTGAAATTTGTTGGGAACATTCGTTATTCCCTGAATAAAACTAACAAAAAATCAATCTTCTAATACTCGGAACTTGTCTTTTTGGGTACGCAAACTTCTACTTCCAATATATTTTACCCTCCAATCCATTTATGGAATCAGAATCTTAAATGCAGTTACCTCCAGAAATGAGGCATTTTCAGGATCGTCCAATCTCCTCAAAGGTCCATCATTTACAGTGAAACCATCACTCCAAAAAACAATGTTGTGAATAACAGACTCAGGTTGCTGAGAAGTAGATTGTACAGATTCCCCCGTGAGTAACCTTCCAGTTCCAGTAAAGCTAGTTGACCTTGGAGGTTCCTGAAGTTGATCAAGAGGCCTTTCTACAGCTCCAAGTTGCCTAGCTTGATTGAAAATTGCATCCACATCATTTCCCTTAGAAGGATCCTGGACAAGCATTCCACTGGACATACAATGTACAATAACAATCAATAGAAAAGCATCAAATCATAAAACAACTGAAAAATAGACGTGTTTATCTGTACATCTTGCGCAGAATTAGTAACATCAATAAACAGTATATGTACATTAAACTTGAAGTTTAGAAAGCATGATTATAGATGTACTATCCTTATTTAATCAACATGAGTATACATATTTTGAAGCCAACAAAATTCGAACAGTTCCAATCAAGGTTGTCAAAAGTGACTTTTCACTAAAAGGTGCTTGAGGTTCTAGAAGAGCAAAGCATAAGGCTATTTTGGGAGTTTTGAGGATGTAGTGGTGTGGTTGGAAAGGTACCACTATACTGTTTGAAGTTTTCAATGAGGGAATGGTGGGGAGCCCTTTTCCACTGTCTGGAGTAACAACGGTAATTTACTGAGTAGATTATATTATAAATTTATCTTCTAGCATCACCCTTTTAATTACCTAGTCGTCGCAAAAAGGTTAAGGATGTGTTTGGTACAAGAGAAATTTTTTGGTGACCGGGAATCATGATTAATGGGAATTCAGTAGAAATTGAGTTTACTTGGAATCTTACGAAAGATGTGTTTGGTTCGCCAAAATATTACCGGGAATATTGGGTAAAAATTATTGATTCCATATTTGGTTTAGAACGAAATATGACTTGGAATATGAGGTTATTTAACAAAAATAACCCCAAACTATTTTTACTTTTGTAATTGATAGATTGGGTCTAGATTTTTATGTGTATTGGGGTATTTTTGTCTCAAAATTTATTGTTGTGTTTTCCCTTTACTTGGTATTCTGATTGGTATTCCGAATTACCATATTATTTTTGGTAATCTGAATAGTGACTTTTCTTTATAAATCAAATTACCGGTAATCCTTGGATATCTGGGAATCGTAATTTATTCCTTCTACCAAACGTGGTAATTACATTTACCAAAGAAGGATTACCGGTAATCCTCTCCAAAAACTTGAACCAAACACCCCTTAAGAGTAGAGTGTCAAGGGTTAAAATTGTAAATGACCATCTTCAAATATTAAAGAAGTATTCCATTCCAAACCCTTCAAATTGGAGGGTGTGAAAATTTTGAGAGTTTGAGTGGTAAGGAGTGGTTTGGGTTCCCATCCTCAACCATTCCACTTCATTACCTTAAAAACTCTCCAACAATGGGTTGAGTTCCTTGAACCATTTCACTCCATCCATCCAAACATAGCTTAAAAGTAAATATTTTAAGGGTTTAATATTTCTCGATAAATTTTATTTTTTACACACACATAAAATTATGTGAAACCCATGTGGACCAATGTAAGGAGAAGAAAGAGAAAGAGAAAATATGGGTCCACACACTTTTATTTGTGTGTAGGAGATAATAAACTCATATTTTAAATACTATCTCAAAACATCTTTAAAAAAATATAGGCATATAACTATTGGTATCTATATGTTCAAAGTATAGTACAATAAATTAATATACCCTTAGGACAAAAGGTAAGCGCGTGCGCACGTGGGAATTCTTTTTTAAGCTCTGCTAGGGTTCGAACGCATTTTGATGGTGGAGAAAAAAGGAAGGCCCCCAACCACTGATGGGGATGAAATTAGCACCAGGGAAAATAAGAAAGCGAAGGGGGAAGTGATGGTGGATCTTGTAATGCTTGAGGGAACTCCGATTGTGGGCACAATGGAGGTCGAAGGTGAGAAGGGAGCTCCCAATGTTGAAATGGAAGCGCTAGATGTGGCCGTGGAGTTGAACGAAGAGGCTCGCAGGACCCACCGCAAACTGGTATCCTACAAGAACCAGCTAATCAGTGTCAATGGAGTGTGGGATGAGGTCCAGGGAGATGAAGAGGACGACTGGTTAGCCCAATGTAAAAGAGACGAAGATGAGGAAAAGGAAGCGATGAAAGCGTATGAGAAAACGGGGGAGGATGACCTACTAAATCCTTTCTTCCAATTCGATGTCTTGGAGAAGCTGGAGCAGTGCAAAAAATGACGTCAATCCCTGATAGTGAAACTCATGGGGAAACGACTAGGGTCAAAATTTCTCTGGAGCAAATTATAAAAGTTGTGGAACCTTGAAGGAACATATAAGGTCCTGGATTTGGAAAATAACCACTACTTGGTTGAGTTTGAGAAAGCTCAAGATTACTGCTTTGTCCAGCAACAGGCCCTGTGGATATTAGCTGACCACTACCTCATAGTTCAACGTTGGAGACCTAACTTCGATCCTTACGATGACAAAGTGAAGAAGTTGGCAGTTTGGATCGGGATCCCAGGCGTACCTCGGGAATTCTATACATACAAGGACCTTTGGAGGATGGGTAACATGGTGGGGCGGACCCTAAAGATTAACGAAAACTCCCTGCGGACTGGAGGTTCAGGACAACATGAGGAGGTAACAGATCGAGGTAAATTCGCCTGCATCTGTGTTAAAGTAGATTTAAGCAAGAGTCTTTTGTCTAAATTTAGAATTGAGCAAAGACAACTGTATATAGGCTATGAAGGGTTACACCTTATATGCTTCTGCTGTGGCAAATATGGCCATAGGAAGGATCAGTGTTTGCTGAATCCTGTTAATATTAAGAAGCCTGAGGGAGGTACAGGGGAAACCGCAGCTGGCCAACATTCTGATCATAGTCATGACGAGAGTAACACCATAGGAGGGGTTGAAAAAAGCCAGGAAGTGGATGGCTTTGGGAACTGGATGACCGTACAGAGGAGAAATAACAAGAGGATGACTTTGAACCCGAAATCCAAGGATAACGTATAGATAAGGAGAAACCCGAAGGAGACCAATACAGGCATGGACAGAAGTACCAAGGATCTGGCTCGAGATTTGGTCCTTTAGGAGAGGAAAAAGATGTAAGCACCCCAGGACTGGAACCTTCCCCCACAGGTCCAGAGAGCAGGGACCTGAAATTTTCTAATGAAAAGATGCAACCGAAAAGAAGCCCAGAAAACAGAAGGAGAAAGGGGAGTGCTGTCAGTTCAGGCCCAAAACAGGGGTCACCTCTAGGCTTCAAAACCCCTGAGAAGCAGAGGTTAGCTCATTTTTCTACTCAAGATCATACTAAGGGCCCTTTTCTTAAATCTTCCAGCAGGGAGGCTATTCTTGTCAATAGAAATAGCAGCAAGGGAAGGAATCAAGGGGCTCCCACTTCGAGAAGAGTGCCCACGAATAGCATACCAAGCTGCAGCAAAATGAAAATTCTGGAGTCTGGGTCCGAATTAGGTCCTAACCCCATTCCAAAAGAAAATCCCCCTGATGACAGTGAGAAAGGGAAGTTGATAGGCCTAGAGGGCAGAGTATCCATGGTGTTGGACAATATCACAAATGTAGATGGAGAGAGGAAAATCAATGGGTTGGTCTAGTTGGATCCAGAAGATTCTTTTGTTCCTTTTCCAATCATTTTTTATGATAGTGTGCACATGGAATTGCAGAGGTGTGGGGAAAAAGGGATTCTCCACCTCAATTAAAGACCTGGTCTTCCAGAATAAGATACAAGTTCTAGCCTTGCTAGAAACCAGAATTAGCGGTAAAAAGGCTAATAGCGTTATACGAAGTTTGGGGTTTGATAGTTTCTTCAGAAGAGACGCAGTGGGATTCTCAGGAGGCATTTGGATCCTTTGGAATAAAAATTTAACCTCTGTAAATATCTTGGAGGATAACCATCAGTTTGTGCATTCCAAACTGATCTGGTTAGGTGAAGCTAAGGAGGAACATTTCACTTTTGTCTATGGAAGCCCTAGGAGAATTGAGAGAAGGAAACTTTGGGAAGATCTGAGGAGAATTGGAGCGGATGGTGTGGTGAACTGGGCTATGATGGGTGATTTTAATGCAATTCTGGAGGAAAGAGAGAAACAAGGAGGGGCTGGTGTTTGCTGGAACAGTATTCAGGAATTCTCTTCCTGCTTGAGTGATTGCAGCCTCTCTGATCTGGGGTGCTCTGGCCCTAGATTTACTTGGAAGAGAGGTTGTCTTCATGAAAGAATTGATAGACTAGTAGCTAATGAGGCCTGGCTTTTGGGGTTCCCTAACAGGTCTGTGTATCACCTTCTGTTTTATGGCTCTGATCACAGGCCTTTGCTGCTGACAGATGATTCCTCTACTGCCCCACCTGTGGGTCCTAGACCTTTCCGGTTCCTTGCTGCTTGGCTGACAAATGGTAGTTTTAAGGATGTTGTAGATGATTGATGGCAGATTAATACGGAGTGGGGCCCTGCAGTTGATAAATTCCATACGGTAACTACGTTTTGGCATCAGAGCAACTTCATGGAAGCCCAGAAAAAGAAACGACAGATCCAGAGAAGGCTTAGGGGGGTTGATGAGCAGCTATGCAGAGGCACAGATGAATCTTTGGAGAGGTTCCACAGGTCCCTTTGGCAAGAGTTAAATGCTATATATATCCAAGAAGAGTTTACTTGGTTCCAAAGATCCAGGTGTAATTGGATGGCCTTTGGTGATAGAAATTCCAAGTTCTTCCATTCAGCCACTGTTGCTCGCACCAGGAGAAACAAGATTAAATCCTTGAAAAATGGGGAGGGTGATTGGGTAGAAGAACCAGAGGAGCTCAAATCCTTAGCCACAAATTATTTCAAACTCCTCTACGCTGAGGAGTCCCAAAACCCTCCTGCCCTTTGTATTGGGGGCCTCTTTCCAGCCCTGGATGGTCATATTTGATGATCAAAGTGATGATGTGGTAGCAACATACATACACTTGATGATTCCACGTCAACATAGTTTTGATGATAACAAATGAACTCAAAAAGGAATGCTCAAGGACGAAGCAACATCCAAAAGAAACTCAAGCAAATGTGAAAGTATGCAAGCATCAAGTCTCAAGCATCAATCCAAGTCCAAAATCTCAAATGGTATATTCATTTAGGACTTAGGAAAAATATGTAAAGGTGTATGGATTCTAGCATTGCATGAGCTCAAATTCATTCATCACTCATATATTTCAAAAGAATGCATCTTTAAAGAAATGTCAAAA